GGGCGGAGCAGGTAGAGCGGATGGGGCTCAGTTCCGTCACCTCTGCCTTAGGCTTTACCTGCCGCGGCCTGACGCTGCCCGCGCCCCCGGGAGGGAGCCCGGTGGAAGAACAGCCCAACCTCCACCCGAAATCGGTGGGAGCCTGGGCTGATGTCAGCTCCACCGTGGCGCTGGCTTCCCTCGTCACCCCCAGCACCTGCAGAATAACTGTATCGGTTATTCTGGGGATATTGCGCCAAGTAGTGCCCGGTGTGGCCCTTTCTCAGTCTCAGTCCATGTAACTGTGTAGCTAGACAGTGACCTGCCAGCCATAAAAATTCTGCATTTTGCTGTGAGTGACCCAAGGAGACAGAAGAACTTTCCTCTTTCACATCTTCCCTGAGGACACAAGTCCATTAAATATATTGACAACAAGGCAACTTGTTATCTTCTGCTGTGCGTGTTACTTTGTGTCTTCAGTTATTTGAGGGGAAAAAAATTAACTGCTGCTTCAACTTTCCTGAGTTACTGTTTAATGCATCCACATGTAAAATGTTCCATTTCAGAATACGAATTACGAAATAATCCTCTGGGAGATGGTAGTTAGCCTGTCAGCATTATCTGTAGCACATTGTTCAGATTAGTCTCTTTTGGAAGAGACAGTTTATCTATAATTACACTAAGCTTTATACCAAGTTCAGAAGACACAACTTAATAAAAAGCAATAAAATGTATATGCACTTCAGAAAAATGTTCTAAGGGTTCAAGACTCAGAACAGCCACCTTACTGAAGCTCTGGGGCGCAGCAGTTTTCATTTGCAGCACAGCATATGTAACATCCCCAGATGTAAGAGATTTTGTAGTTTCTTACCACACCATACATCTTTAGAAAGGAGGAAAAATGTACATTAAGCAAGATGTGGCTATATGTTAATATAGCTACAAGATTTCTTTTTTATGACTTTGTAAGAAGAATCAATGCCCAACCATGTGAGGCTTTGGTATGAAGGAGTGGCTCATACTGACCCTTTGCTCCAAATCTTTCTAATAAATATTGCTATTTTAGTATCATTTACATAAATTATTTTATGGCATCAATGCAGATTGTTTTATTCAGTTCACATGGTGTTTTTGTTCAATCGATTTTCAATGTAAATTATACTTGTTCTAATAGCATTAAAATCACCCTTCTAGGTACAAAATGGATTTACATTTGCATTTTTTATGCCAAGTGACCAACAGTGATGAAAGACCTGATTTTAAAACAATATTTATAAATCAAAGGAAGCATCAATGTTTCAATAGGAAGCAAACCTTGTAACTTAAAAAACACTGAATAGAAAACAATAAAAAAAACCCGTAGCATTTCAGAGCTTTGCAGCACACTGTGAGCAACTATTACCATTCCCACATCACGCCAGGCATGGGGAGCTGCCCCTGAGAGGTAAGAAAGAGAGAAAGGTGATTTCCCCATGGTCACAGGGGTGAGCAAGTCAACATCAGATTTCAGATGTTCCTGGCTCCCTTTCCACGCTCAAACCACAGTCCTTTTTGGGGGGGAGTGGGAATAGGAGGAAGCAAAGGGGAACAGGGCAGGTTTCCACACTTTCTGTCTTGAGGATCCCAATTTTTACCATGACTGTCCTGATTGAAAGAATTCAGTTCCAATTTTTGCCTGGATTTCCTTCTAGCTTCTCTTCACACCTGCTATCAGCTCTTCTGTTTTCCAGCTGCAGACTTTGAAGAAAGGTTCCACATAGAAAGCAAAGTTGGACTTAAAAGCTTACTGAATAGAAACTTTTCCCAGGTCTCACAACCACTTTTAAGAGTGTAAAATTGTCACACCAGCAAAGTGCTATTCACAGCTAGGATTTTTCCACTCTTTTTCCCTCTTTACAGGTAATTAGAAAAAAAAGGTCAGACAGAAAAAGCCTCACGTGGTTGGGCAGCCTGTAGCAGTGACATGGTATGTGTGATGTCAAGGGAGATTACAGTTTAGGAAGATAAGACAAAAGCTGACAAGAAAAACAGAAATTTAAGATGTTTTATATTTAACATTTGTAATAGTTATTTCACAGTCTAAAATGAATGCAATTTTCAAAAAATGTCCTACGCATTGCTACCCACCTGATAGGATGCATATTAATACTAGGGAGAAAATAATTCAAGTTCTTGCATCCAGGATAATTCTAGTAAGTCACTGTGGTCTACACAAATAAAAAGGGATATTATAATGCTATTCTATACAAATCCTACTTTCCGAAGTTTTCAAGAAAAGTCATGTTTAAAAGTCTTTGCACTTCTACCATTAAATACCTGTTTGTACAGTGCATATAAAAAGACTCCTGGGAAAAGTTAGTATAACACACTACTGTACTAAAAACTTGCATCAAGTTACTTGATGTACCTTGTATATAAAAAAGGGCATTTTTAAAAGTAGTGTCCATATGTCATGGCAATGTGTCAAATTTCTTTTTAAGCTAGTTATAAATGTTCGTTTGAGACCTTATAGAGTTCTTTAAGCTTGTCAAACTTTGACCCCCACTCTTGGAGGCAATCACAATTTAGATCTTCATCACCACAAATGGAGTCTAAGGAACTAAGGCTCCCTGCTAGAGAGCATTGCCCTTCCAAGCAGTAAAAATGAATAGTGTCAGCTGGAAGACTCTGTAGATCATTGTCTGCATCCCAAATTATTTGAGAAACGTATTCCTTGAAGTCTGGGACGCCGGTAACAGCTGATGTCGATAGTTTCTGATGTGCATGTTTTGGGAGTGAGTCTCTTTTTGGGCCGGTGGGTGTCCTGGAGTGTGGAGCAGCTGCCTTCAAGGAAAAGTGGGGAATCATATGGAGAGGTTTCTTCAGCTCATCTATATCATAAGCATTCTGGAAAAAAAAATACAAATACCTGAGAGAAACAACACAAAGGAAACAGGTTCCGAAAAATGTTTTAAAACTCAATGCAACACGAAACTGGATTCTGTGAGTTTTCTACAAACTGATGAAAAGAGAGGGCCTAGTTCAGATCACACCAAATCCCTTTGTGAAACGATAGTCCAACTAAAGCAAGAATGCTGTGTCCAGAGCAACCTCCTCAAAGGGGGCCACAGATGACAAGCATCATGAAAGGTACAAATTGGGTTGAAATAGAAGCCTCCCACTCATGATTACTTCAGGTTAAAAAAAAAATAATCAATTGGCTAAGATTTATTCAGATAAATAAAAAGTCTGGGAAAGGAAGGTAGAGAGGTTGGATTTGCAAAGACTGGATTGAAGCTGCATCATACCTGGTCATGTTCTCCACCTCCTTCTTCATTATAATTGAAGACATTTTCTCTAACATCCTCCCAGCTTTCACGCTCTTCAGGAATGTGGTAAACTCCTCCTTTCCGAAACCCTGAGCTTCCCCACTGACTCCACACCGTGTAGGAGACCAAGAGTGCTGGAAGAAATAAAGACATGTATTTGTTGTATGAGATATGACAAAGTACGATGCATGATAAACAAGAAGTTACACGATTTCTGAGATATTAAATCAACTCTTAATTTGACAACCAATTTCCCAGGTAAGAAATGCATAATTGTTAATATATAAGCAACTTATATTCAGGAATGTAAAGAATCATCTATGTATATTACATCATAAACTTCATTAAAAGGGTATTTTACTTACCTAAAGGAATCCATTTAAATAGAAGGCATTTTGGCCAATCTCTGGCCTTTCACCAATCCTGAGTAAATAAGATACCCAAAGTAAGTAAAACACTGTTTTAATGAAGGTTACAAGTGTAATATTATCATGGAGTCTTTACTATTCTGAGATGTGTATGCAGTTTTTCTTTATCAATAGGAGAAACAGTTTTACGGTGTTATTAACTTTTCAGCCAAAGTGCGCCTGAAACTAGACACACAGTGAACATCTCTTTCTGCCCCACACTCTTAACAAGGCTTGCCTCTTAAGATCATAAACTTTCTAGAGAAAGATCTCTTCCTTCCTAATATGTGACTAGCACGTACTAGCTGTAGGTCCTACCTAATACAAATGTAAGGTCTCAGGGCAAGTGGGAGTTTCAGGTGTCTGTGGCTGTACACAGATTTGCATACATAGACGGAAAGCTCTTTTTTAAGAAGGATTGAAAATAAGTGATTCTGAAAGAGAGAAGTCCTAAATTTGCTTGAACTTCAATGTAAGTTCTGTAACAAGGCTTCAATACAAGTAAACTGTAACTATGTGCTGATGCCTGTCTTTTAGCATCCTCAAATGAACTCCCAACTGGTGATCTCCAGAAAAAGTGAAACACTGATCACTACATCCAAGGGTAAAGCAGGCTCGATTCAATGGAGCAAGGTACAAGATTAAAAAGAAAGACAAAAAGTACTTGCTTTCCTACCTAGGAAGACAAGGAGGCACATGCTGATTGCGAGAATAGAGCCAGAGCTGAGTCCGACAGGTCTTCCAGCCTTCACTTGGCTAATTTCACACCATCTTCCCTTGTAACCTTCAGGGCATTGGCAGATGGTCTTGTCTTGGGATTGAGCCACACAGGTGCCCCCATTCCTACAGGTCCAGTGTCCACAAGGTGATGAGGTGCAGTGTCTGAGCCCTGTAAGGCTGTCAGTCACTTCTACTTTCCCAGCTGGACACCTGAACAACAAAAGCAGAAGATGTCTTTTAGACAGGCAAAGCACCTACAGTTGTACATTGTTTTGTGCAAAGTTTGATACTATTTCTTTAAGGCAAATAATTAAAGTCTTTTCAAGCAATCCCAAATACACACTGAAAGTATGAAATAGATGTAAACTCTAACATAGTGAGCTAGTAGGCCTATCAAAACATGAACATATGTTCTGCTTTCCCCATCCAGAAGATATGCAGAAGAGCTTCACTCCTTCCTTAAAAAAGGAAGGAGTTTGTTAAAAAAGGAAAGAGCCTGTTCAGCTTCTGAATAGACTAACCCCTCTTCTACAAACATGTTCAAAACCCCTAGAAGGAAATAGATGCCTGAGATCAATGGGGTTAGCAAGCACTTAGGATAAGCTTTGCAACATTCATCTGAGCCTTTGGGAAAGAGATGTCATTGACCTCCTCAGAATGACCCATCTTGTCTTTGAGGACTTTAATTGGCAGAGAAAGTGATTTCTTCTGATATGTAATTGAAGAGGCAGTGTAGGAATACCGTGAGGAGCACAGACCCGCTTTCTGCAATCCAAAGAAGAAATACTAATGAATAAATGGAAGAGCCTTCATATTGCTCTTTCACTAGCAGACTGAAGAAAGGAGTGTCCCAAGGCACACTTAAAACCATCTCACAGCCTGTTGCAGCAATGAATCACTAGGCTTCAGAAGTGCTAAATTTTGGCTGAGTTGAATGAATTCAAGTGGTTCCTTCTCCCAGTCCTGCATGTATTTATATACGGGGTTTTTTTTAACAGAAATGCCTGTATTTTGATTTGCATATTTTAATATACATATTTTGAAATTTTTCTTGAAAGAGTGGATCTTCTCCAAGGAACTAACTGTGTAGGATACCAGCTGGTGGGCTTTGGTTCTGAGCCTGGACAGCCAATTTTAGAATCCAGTTTTGTGACAGTCTAATTTTGAAAGTGTCATTGTTTCATACAAAGTATGATTAATTTCAACTTCACAGAAAATAGAAGTAAATATATATTGTATATGCAAGATATATTTTACACATATATATACCAAATATGCATATGTTATATCAGAATATATATTTTCACACAGAGGAGAGACCAAAGCTTTTGCAACCTGCCTTTTATCAAAGGGCATTTCACTTCCTCACTGGTCTGTGATCTTCTCACCATGGAAAAAATGGTGGAGTAAATAAGGTTCCATATCAGACTTGCAGGAAAAGGCAAGTTTGGCCCCTGCTGGGAGATGAGATGGAGAGCAGGATTTGTCCTTGGGATGCCCCTCTCTGACCAACAGCAGCAGGGACTTAGAAGCTTCATTGTTAGAAGCAAGTTGCCTGAACTAAGGTAGAAAGAAAGAGCTTCCCCACGACCCCTGGATGAAAACAAAAGCGTAATGTACCGGCATTCGTATTTTCTCCACAGGTCTACACAAAGGAAAGGGCTGTAACAGGGCTGGCTGCTGCAGGCACTGGAATGGCATCCCATCGTGACACCTTGCCGCCTCAGAATTAAGCCAAACTCCGTGCTTTTGCCTTCCACGAGAAGTGGCTGACCATTCAGCTGGACATCACGCATACAACCTGCATCAAAGCAGGGGAGTACACAGAGAAATACGTTGAGTTAGCAACTTCCCCACCTCAAGCCTTGCCCACAATGCATATGCAGGAGACCTTACAGCATTGTAGAAAACATGAAACATTTTTTAAAATGATCCTAATACTGCTTATCAGTTTTATTTTAGAAGAAGAGCTACAGAACATGTGGCTATGGGCTCTGACCAGTCTACAGATTGACAATACTTCTGTAGGACAGCTTGGTTGTAGCAATGCATCAATTTAGCAGAACTGTGCTATGAACCAGAACAGCTCCACTAAATTAATCTATGTTTAAAATAGAATCTTAAAAGTAGGGCTGAATGGGAAGCAACAGAATTGAAAAAAGTTGTCTTCTGTTGAGCCACCATCTCCAGTTCCAGCACCCCACACCAGGAAATGAAGTGTGGTGTGAATTGCCTCGAAAATCCTTCTCCTCCTACTAGGAGGTGTTGTGTCTGTTCCTTAAACCTTTCTGAGGCAAAAAGGGAGTGAAGATCTCAGCGTGAGTTCCCTACTTGGGGCCTCTGGCATGGGAAATAAAAATCTGAAGTGCTGTTTTTCAATATTAACAGGAAATCTCACAGCTTCACTAGAACCAGATACAATGGCAAATAAAGAGTTGAACATTAGTCCTGAATCCTCTAGTAGAGGAGGTGGGATTTCATGGGCATTGTAGTCTCCATGGGAATTCTTACCTGGGTTTTAGACTCTCCAATACACTCAAGGATACCAATTTTAGGATTTAATTCCCTCCTTTTGGGAACCCATCACGTTACCTTGGAAATCGCTCTCTGAATGATTAGGAAGGTGGTTTCCTAGCACGATGCTTGCCCAATCCATTTCAAACCATCTATTTGTACCCAAGACAGAGGTCACTTCTTGATCACCTCCACCACTGTTAACACGCAGGGTAAATTCATTGTTGTATCGCTCCATGGTCAGAAGAACCCACTGGCCGTTGTTTATACGTAATGTCCTCATTCTCAGAGAGTGACTTTTGTCCCCCAAGCTGAAGTTAACGCTAAAGAAACCCTCAATCACCTAGAGGAAGACAATAAATTCTTTTAATAACAGAAATGTACGTCTAAATGTTATTACACAGTCCTGCCTCAAGAAATGGACCTGAGTTCTTAAAATGAAAATGGCACTCTTGTTTTTAAGTGCTTTATTGCCAGATAAAAATTACTACAAGAAAACTGCAGGTCCAGGAATTATCAACTCTTTTCTTTACTGGCTACTGTCCTAACTCAGATGAACCTTTTTATCAATCTTCTCCCTATTGATGTCTACCTCTTAAGTCTTCCCAGCTGACTCTCCTGTTACAATTGGAATAATTAGCCTTTGTCTAGGCAACGTAATCCAGATAGCTTTTTTTCAACAGCAAGAAAAATGAAGAGACAAGTTCTATAGCCAGAGACAGATAGAAGCAAATGGAAAAGGCAAACAAGACAAAACAATCTTCCCCATTCACATGTATCACATGCACTCATCTGTACTTTTTGCAGGGAAACAACTAGAATCTATGTTATGAAAGGGTAATACTGAGAAGGACAACACAAATGAGAGTAGTTACTCTCATGTGGAAAATTCTTGCTTTTTATTACATGAAAGAATAAGTGTCCATAATTGGAACCTGCATCCTTTCCTCTTACCGGGGTACTCCACGACAAATGAAGAGCACTAAAACAGAATGGCTTTTGGGCTGCTCACCTCCAGTCGGATGTATCCATTCCCATCTACAGAGGCCAAGCTGAGAAGGGTGCTGTGGGAGATACGGGTGCGCACCATCAGCTGGATCTGAGTGCTGTGAGTGCTGAGGATGCTTCTTGGCTCATAATGGATCCAACTGTCCCTTCCAAAAGCCCATTCTGGAAGAACTAAGCACAACGCACAGAAAATCAAAGTGAAAATCTCAGAAATTACTGCTCACTGGGATCTCCACTGCTTGAGAATTAACCAGTTCTGAATGTCAGAATTTTAGTTCTTAAGAAGCTTTGACAATGTAATAAAGCACCATGGAAAGCATCCCCCCACTGCCAAGGGAGTTAAGAGCAAAAGAATAAATCAAGGAAACAGATTTTAGGCAGGAAAGGGACAATTAGATGATGTCTCTAACATTATGCCTATCACAAGCTATACATTCTACCCAATTACTCCTACACTGAGCCAAACAACTTCTTTTATTTTTTTAAGATCTGAAACATTTCTTCCAGTAAAGTAGATGGTATTGATCTGAAGGAAAAAAAAACCCCAAAGATAATCTAATATTTCTTTCAGTAGTTTAGTCCTGTGGTTAATAACCCTCATTGTTAGAAAATATGCACTTTACTTCCCATTTCATTTGGCACAAGAGAAAACCTCAGAGCAGGCACAGAGTCAAAAGTCATAATATGTATTTTTTTTAATTTACAGAGAGACATTATGTCAGTGTTTATTATCTGAACTAGGGAAAATGCATTGAAATTAATTCTTTCCACATCATCCTGGGGAATCCATCTGAGAGTCATTCAGCAGAGTTGCACTGCACTTTTGTGGAAATCAAAAACCACTAAACCACCCAGACCTTGGTGCTTTTATGCAGCAAGCACCCATTTCAGTCTCACTACCTGACAGCAGTCCTAGATCTGCTTGTTCTGGGCACAGCTCAGTTGAAAAAAAAAAAAAAAAAAAAAAGAAGTTTGTTCTTACCAAATAAAGACATAGTCCAAGTTAGTGACGAGACATGAAGAACGCTGGGTCACCAACAGCTAATCTGAGGTCAGTGTCGCACAAGTAGAAATCCAGAAAGTGCCCGGTTGATGCTGGGGCACTTAGTCTGGTTCCCAGGACATAGAATGATCAAATGGTTTGGGTTGGAAGGGACCTTAAAGATCATCTAGTCTAACCCCTATGGAATGAGCAGGGACATCTTCAACTAGACCAGGTTGCTCAGAGCCCCGTCCAACCTGACCTTGAATGTTTCCAGAGAGGGGGCATCTGCCACCTCTCTGGGCAACTTATGCCAGTGTTTCACCATCCTCATCATAAAAAATTTCTCCCTTATTCCTAGTCTAAATCTGCCCTTTTTTAGTCTAAAACCATTACTCCTTGTCCTGTCACTACAGGACCTAATAAAAAATCTGTCCCCATCTTTTTTATAAGCCCCTTTTAAGTATTGAAAGGCCACAATAAGGTCTCCCTGGAGCCTTGTCTTCTCCAGGCTGAACAATCCCAACTTTCTCAGCCTGTCTTCACAGGAGAGGTGCTCCATCCCCCTGATCATCTTTGTGGCCCTCCTCTGGACTTGCTCCAACAGGTCCATGTCTTTCCTGTGCTGAGGTGGGGTCTCACTAGAGCAGAGTAGAGGGGCAGAATCACCTCCCTCGACCTACTGGTCACACTTCTTTTGATGCACCCCAGGATAAGGTTGGTTTTCTGGGTTATGAGCACACATTGCTTGTTTTTGCCCAGCCTTTCATCCCCCAGTACCCCCAAGTCCTTCTCCTCAGGGCTGCTCTCAATCCCTTCATCCTCGAGCCTGTATTGATACCAGGAGTTGCCCTGACCCATGTGCAGGACTTGGTATTTGGCCTTGTTGAACCTCATGAAGTTTGCATGGGTCCACTTCTCAAGCTTGTCCAGGTCCCTCTGATTGGCATGCCATCCCTCAGGCGTGTCAACCACATCACTCAGATTGATACATCAAATGATATATCCAATGATCAAGAGACTTAATTTCCGCACTCTCCCCCTCACTGTTTCTCCTCTCTTCTCTTTTTTAAAGCATATTTTCTTTTCTCCTCTAGCTTATTCCCCTCCTATAACTCTTCCTAGCCCACTGTTCTCTCTTGTTCACTATCTCTGCAGCTACAGGCTCTAGCTGATGAGCAGGGATGGATTTTCTTGGGACACTGCAGTGACTCGTATCCCCAGCTGTCTGCTCCTTGCTGTGAACACGGCTCAGCCATTCATAAAGCATCAGCTGAACACCAGCATTTTGCAACCAAATATATTAGAAGAAGTTGGAACCAATCAAAGTTTTCCTATTAAATCAGTATATGACTTATGGATTTTGACTAATTATTTTCTGAGCACTTCGTTTGTCCCACAGTGGTGAGGGGGAGGAGCCAATACAGCAGCTGGGGTTGTGAACCAGCATCCCAAGATAATGCAAAGCAGAATAATATTTAAATCTAGGCAGATATTTATAAACCAGTGTCATCCGTCTGCAAAACATTAATACAAATAGCTGAACAATATTAACCATTTCCATGGTCATTGTAAACACTTTAAGTAGTGAAGGTTCCAAGCCTAGAGCGTGCCAATTATAATTCCAGTCCTCATCCCATTGGACAGACAGAGCTTCCGCTGAGTAATTTACTGTCACACCTTTTAAATCTTGTGTGGCAGATGGAGAAAGGAAGAGAGGGTCTGGCTGCCTGCATAGAGTATTATTGTTCTGTATACAAGAAGGAAACATACACAAATAGTACCATGTTCATTAAACTACATGTTGTGATCATTATGATCAGAGGAAGAAGGCACAATACAGAATGTTTCCTCTTTCACCACTGAGAAGTAAGATGCTGTGATGAAAAGGACAAAGCAACCCATCTGACCACTTGCCTCCCCTGTAAAGCAAAGCAGGTCTCAACAAGACCCTCATCTGTGGCATTTTCTTTATTCAACAAGAGTTAGAAGGATCTTTACATCATTGCAGATCTAAATCATTCCCAGAACACAGCATGGTCTTATTAGGCTACTCAGTTCAAAGTTGTGGTAAATTTAAAACAGTATGTTTGATGCTGTTCCCACAGATCCTCACCATTAATTTCCCCCTAGAACTTGCAGTACCTTTTTCACATGCTGGTCCAGCATATCCCGGGGAACAGTCACAGCGAAAGAAATCCCAACCACCAACACACTTGCCATGGACGCCACAGGAGGCCATCCCACCGCTCTGACACATCTCATCTGTACGGACACAGCCGGGAGAGCTGTTCAAGGACTCTGCAGGGTGCTCTAAATCATAGACCTGGAAAAGGACAAAGAGGAGCGTCACATCAGGTGTTTACAGTTAACAGCAGTAAACCCAAGACTGGTGTTAGTAGCGTTACCTTACTATCAACAATGACATTGCGGATGCAGCCAACAAACCCTCTGAAGCGCCTTTGTGAATCATGGTAAGGCAAAGTCTTCTTAACTCCACCCAGCTGCAGGGGCTGACGGCCACTGAAGAGCCTACCCATGCTGAAGGGAAGGGAGGGAAAGAAGAAATTAGGGGCATGAAAAATACAGAAACTTGGCTGATTTTTTTTTCCTTTTTCCTCAGCTATTTTGAGCAATTATGTTTTCAATTCATGTTGGTTTATTTGGGTTTTTTTTTACCTCTGAATTCCCACAGTCTCTTCAGAGGCTTCACAGGCAGAGAGATCCATTTGGGAGAGCTTCTTAATGACACTGTCATCACCTCTAATTGAGACATTTACGCAGTGGTCAAGAATCAGCTTCACTGTCTGGAGAAAGGCAGTATTTAAAACAATTGCATCCAGAGATGTGCATACAGTTTAATTACACATTTTCTTTCACTTAGCAGAAGGAGGAATAGTAACTAGCAGTCACAGTGTGGGAAACTTTATTAAAATAATAAAACACTGCCACATACTAATCTGGAAGGTTTTTGCACATGGCGTATAACTAAGGAGCCACACAAAAGAAAGATCTGACTCTACCATGACCATGCCAAGTCACTGACATGGTAGGGGAAAGATGGGATTTTCTTGGAGTTTTCTGCTTAATCAGAACCCAAAGGGACAGTCTAGCTGAGCAGATGGTCTTCCAGGCTACCCGTCCCAGTTCCTGACATGATCCCCAGTTTGTCTTACGGGGGAGAGGAAGGGGCAACCCAGCAGATGCCTTCACCAGTGTTATAGCAGCAAGATGTTCCCATTACACAAAAGCATAACTATCTCCTTTGTGCTGCATGTCTGAAGTCACTTGGTGGGGCAGAGTTTCCCACTTGGAAAAATTAAGGATATTTCCTTCCATCAGTCCAGGAAGCATTTAGGCCCTGGATTATCATGACTCTGTGGTCTAAGCTATGGATAGGTTCATTAAACAAAAAAACCCAGCATGGCCAATTTCAAAGTTGGATCAGACTTCTTCAGGCCTTGTTCTGCTTCACTGCCTCAAGACTAAGGGGGCATCTGAGCTGACAAACTTCAATCCCTGCTGTTGCAGAGATGATGAAAGACCGATTGGTAAAAGAGCTCTACCGAAGGGAGGAAGGATTCAGAAGGGATAACTATGTACATGAATTAGTGATTCCACAGGACTGTCCATATTTACACTTGCCTTTCCATCATTTATAATTTTTATATTATGCCAGCGGCGATCTGCAACGTTAACTTTTCGTGACAGCTGCAGGAAAAGCTCACCAGAGCTGTGGCTCACGGTTAGCGACGGGATGCCACCAGAGAGCTCTGCAAAGAAAAGACTCTTATTTAATATGCATGAACCATGTTCCCACTCAAACACAGTTCAACTGATTGTTAGAGTCAGATTTTAGTTGGAGGAATTGTTCAGTCAGTTTAAAAAAATCCAACTTCAAACTGGGCATACTGGCAAATTGTTCCACATTTTCTTTATTCTCCAGAAGGAACTTTATGAACTTTTCTTTTTTTTTTTTTAAATATCAACTGTAAGTAGAATCTCACCTTCATACAAACACAAAGAACAAATACTCTTTAAGGCGCTAACCTAATGCAATGAAATCTTCTTGTTCTCCTGGCTGCCCTCGCGCCACTGGTCCGTGGTACAGCAGAAGGCCGTCGGCGACTTCAGTGATAAACTCTAAGGAGATGCGGCTCTCAAAGCAAGGCTTAAGAGGAGGGAACCAGGCATAACCATGTCCTCTGAAGCTGTGTTTTGTCTGCTGGCAGTCTGGTCCATGGAAATTTGCAGAACATTTGCATCTATTAAAAAAATAAATAAAGCGAAATTCCACCATCCAAGCATTAGTCATGAAGGGCTCTTCCCACAGCAGGACTCTCCACTTCAAACACAGAAGACGGTGTTGCCTAGGCCATAGTGTGGATTAAGCACTAGCAAAACTCCCATCATAAAATGTTCCCTATTGACTTGTTTGTACAAACACAATTGAGCTTTAGTTCTAAGTGATAATATGTCTATGCAAGAATAATTCTGTGAACAAATGATGGAGACATGGTAATACACAAAGCACCTGAAACTCTAATCTCTTCAGCAAAGATAAAAACCTCCACTTTTTGGTAGGCTTAGTTATCAGCTTGTTTAACGACTTTATAGTGTTGACAGGGAAAGCAAAGGAAGGGTGTGGGAAGGTAATATCACCCAGAAAAAGTGAGAAAAGGGATGACAGTCATAGATCTTGATAACTTCACTTGTATTGCAAGCTACTTACTGGTCTATTTCACTATCAAAAATAGATGCTTGGGATTCTTTCCTTAATACTCTGGGGATTTTGTAGAAAACTAACCACAGCATGACAATAACAAAAACTGTAAAAGGCGAACTAAAGGAGCAACAGAAAAGGGCAGGAGGACAGGGAGGGAGAACAGCTGGGCCCCTGTTTCTTAGGCTCTGCGTCCCATAGATCGCTAGTATCTAATGAGAGCAGAGTGGCACAGTAGGATGCAGAAAAAGATCACTCACAAAACCCACCGAAAATGGAGTAGAAGTAAAGAAGCCTCAGAGTTGTGCAAATGATAGGTGGAGGAGCCTACCAAGAGTTTCTGGGCAGCAAAATTTCCCTGGTTGATTGCATCTGAGCAGCAATGTCAGACACAAATCTTTACTATGATCAGGGCTTCTGCAGCTTCATTCTGAGTCCTATCACCCCTATTAAGGGTTCTCAGAAGAGGCTGGTTAGTTGTTTCTGCTTTCCTATGTTGGGATGACCATTTTTTTAAGCAAATATGCTTAAGGCTTGCCTTCTGGAAGGGGATTAGCCTCATTCTGAGCTACTATAGTCCCATCTTTTTTTTTCACCTTCATACTATTTTGTCTACAAGATGTCATTTTTTGAGAAAAAATGAGGCAGAGAATGGGGGGAAGAGATTAGTAAGTGACTTAAGTGAGATGATTTAAATGTTTAACAACATTAAGGTAGGTTGCACAAAACAAGAGCATTTTGCAGGACGACGTTAAAGGAACTGGTGCAGCCTGCAAACTTCCCAAGGTTTTCCCAGAGACTATGATGAACCAAAGCATCTACCTGAAAATAGAGGATTGTTTGCAAAACCTGTGCATGGAGTATAACAAAAAAGCAGTGATATCTCCCCAAGCTTCCGGTCTTGCTCCTTACAGACTGAGCTAGAAGCACTTTCCACAGCAGACAAAGCTTTACCAACCTGTAGCCCAAATCAGTATCCACACATGTGCCACCATTGAGACAAGGGTTTGTCTGGTATGAGGAGCAGGAGAGACGAGGACTCTCCCGAGCTGCACAGCCACACAGGGCATGACTCAGGACTGTCACAGACACCAGTGAAATGCTTCCAGCTGTGGTTATTGTTGGCACATGATTCTGTTCAAGCTTGCTGATGCATCCGCTGCTATGAGTGCAGTTTGCGGTCACACATTCATCAATGCCAATCTGGGTGATATTTATATCCAAGATGTTTTCCAGCTGTGGAGAACAATTAGTTGCATTCATCTGACTTTTCCACAGAGAGGAAGCTTACAATGACAGCCATGAAAAGCCCCAGTCTTATTTATTCTCAAAACTGGTTGCTATGCCACTTCCTTCCAACATCTACCTCGCTCTATCCAGCCAAAGGCAGCTCAGCCTGGCATCTGTTCAGGCCAAAGCCTCGGTATAAGTCAATTACGGTGTGAGTAAGCACTTAGAAGACAAAAATATTATCATATTAATCATAAGATGAGTGGATACATTTTAATCTCTGATGGTTGTGATGGATTATTTACATAGCATCTGATCTGTATTCTTAATTTGGACTTCCATCTTAAAAATATTGAGAAGGGTGGACAGACATTTGGCAATGAAGAGAACTTTTCTGGCAAGAGGGAGCTGGTACAGCAGCATTTCTTCTAAACATAATTCTTATTTCAGCCTCTATGTACCAACAGACACATTTCCAACAGAGTGAGTCATTTAACTTTGATCAAAACTTTTTTTTTTTTTTTTTTTTTTGCGAGAGGGGCAGGAGCTTTACTAAATTGTCAATGCACATTTCCAACCTGGTTTTCCACTGGAGAATGGTTATTTTACTGCTTTGCCCTCTTAAATCAGAAAGTTGGAACTTTTGACTGGTTTGTGAATTTCAGCTACAGAATGTTTCTGTGTAGAAGACTATAAATCGAAACATTAAGATACCACATAGAAAGGCAAGAGCCAAACACATCCTTTATACAGAGTTTAGCAGTCTTTTCGATAGGAAGAACATGTTCGCTTTCCTAAAAGCTCATTGTGTTTAGGTGACTCAATATGTATTTATAGGCTGGCTTTTAAAACACACATATTTGAAACTTTTAATATAAGTGCTAAAGGACTGTTTGACTTTACTGACTAAAATTATCCATTTTTCTCATACATTACTCCCTCAGTCATTCTAAATACGCGCATTCACTAGGCAATGGACATTATCTGAATAGACACAATGAGAAGATGCTGCGGTTTCATACATAGTATGGATACTTACCCATGCTCTGGAGGCTGCTACATTACCATTAAGTTTTTCTGCTTTATAATAGGGTGGACCATAAACTGCAAACCAAACATCAACCCCTTGGGTTGGACTTGCACTATTTAATACACTGAAAATGTGAACGTTTTCGACTTGGACTGATATAATTTCTGAAAGCAGCTTCTTCATCTGGTAGTATTTACTCTGTTTTTCAGGGGATTGGGATATGAACTCCTCTGGAGTGATACCTGTAATAAAAGTTAAAAACCTGACAAACACATATCTTGCAACTGTTGTAGCAATAAGAGAGGAGCAACACAAAATATTATCAAGGTTGCAGAAAATGCACTCAGCTGCAAATTCGGGAGTATTTTCATTTTTAGGCTCTGAAATTCTCCAGGATGGCTTCTGCTCAGGGTTTGTGTTCTCAACCTTTTTGACTCTCATTCATTTCCTTTTTTTCATTCTTTTAAATCAGAAACATGTTTAAGAAGATTTTACTTTTCCACAAAGAATGAAACAACTTGGTGAATTTCAGGCAGACAATTATTCAAATAAATAATTCAAATAAATTATTCATTTTTTTCCTGAAATATAAATTGCTGCTTTGTTAAGAAGTTGGTGTAGAAATTTCACATCTTTGTCTTCTGCATCAGACAAGTATTTCTTGCTGTCTTTTTTCACCATAGATGCACCTTCACATGCAGTGTCAGAGGACCATACAAACAAAGATGCATTTTCAAACCCTTACCTAGAAAATTATTCACCTTCATCTCACGTTTAAGAGCATTAGAATTCTAAGCAACGCAGCAGTAACAGTAAGGTAGATTTCAGTATTACGATCCTAACGTACTTCACCACATTGCTTACCTCTTATTCGTATAGAACCAGCATTACGCAGGCCATCATCTTTGATTTCCTTCACCGTAACCTTTACAGTTGAGACAACATCTGGCCAGACTCCATCAATGACTCTGACTCTTATGTTGTAGGTTCCTGGTGGGGTTCCTTCTTTAATAGTCAGCAAACCTGAGTTATCATTAAGGATAAAGTACCTGTAATAAGAGTTAAGCCAAGGATCAAGCTATGAGAAGTTCAAAAGCTAAGTAGCAATTTTCATCACTGCTGTTTTTTCTGATCCACTTTATTTTGGGAAAGCTATCAAAGAAAGCAGATGTGTTCCCTCATGAAGGGACAGGGCAGAACAGAACTTTTTCACATTGCCTTCTGTTGGCTCCTAATCACTCTTCACCAGTATATCAAGAAGGTTTTGTCCTGCTTCTGTGCCATAGGAACTGTGTAGGAAGACTCCGGTTACTATAACTGTAACTTTGGAAACAGTGCAAACTCCTAGTTTAGATACATTCATTGGAAGTGCACCTCTGTCAAAACCTCCAAATGGCACACGTACGTCTCAACCACATTCACAATCCAGACACTTTATGTGAACACATCCAATACAAGTAAGGTCTTAAAACCAGTGGTGACACAGAAACACCGACTCTCCAGGAGCATGGAGGAAGGAGAATGGAAATTAGTGGGTATTTTTTCTGTAGTGGCTCACTGATACTGATTATGGGTATGACTGTGAACAGGAATTTGGAGTAGTGTTCTAGCCCATCAGGGGAAGTGGACTGGTTTGGCATACAGCATTATTTACTGTGGTCTCAGACTTGGAAGGGCTTTTGGAGAGCTACGTAGAAGCATCTAACCAACAAAATGCTTTTGCACACTTGTTTTTTTTTTAAAAAAGGCAGTTTAAATACTTTTTATGTTTTTATGTGTTTGGGCAAGATTTCCATACATTTCACCCAATTTCCTTTTTTCTCTCCAAATACCTTGATGTTTTTCCTTCAAATTGGTAGATTTTGTGATCCCAGTCATCATCATCAGGGGCACGGACCTGGCCCAGTACAGTCGTGGGGAGGATACCTAAAACAACATAGCATGTAAGTGGCACGGTTGGACCTCTCGCACCTACACAAACAGGTTGACCATTCAGGTTTTACTGGTTTAAGTCTAAAACCTCTACAAAAATAGTTATGATGGTTCCTAAGAGAAGAGGTGCACCAGTTTGCAAATACCACATGGTGTCCTACTTATTGGGTATTTGCTGTATGGCTACATAGATTTAATTCAACAAGTGGCTGCAATGAAAAGCGGATGAGAAGGAAAAAAAGACAAGCCACCTCTGAGGAAAAATGTAAGAGATATTCAGAAACAATATCAGAATTACTCATTTTCACTATTTTAGCTGCAGTATCCAACCAACTTACAGAGTGCTTTAGACAGGGCTTGGGCAGGAAAAACAACAAAAATGCTGACTGGATTATAAAGGGCAAAAAACAATAGCAATTTGGAGGAAATTACAGCAAGACAGAGAGGATGTCCAAAACACAGTAACCAGCCTTATTTTGAGTAGATGGTGAGACTTTGGGGTGAGATAGAAAGCAGCATGTATTCTCCTGGTTTTGCATCCTCTCAGCAAAGTTCACAAATGAGTATTTTTTTGTTTTACAAAAGCTATTTCTGAAGGAAAGATGCACAGGCATCTGAATTCATATATCTACTGATCAAGGATACACAAAGAAGAGGAAAAAATGTAGGAATTCACATTGTGAGAGGGAACAGCACAAGGTTGCTGACAACCCTGACAGCTGAGGGACAGCATGCAAAAAGGAGAGAAAACTGTACCTCTCCTGCAACTGTGGCAACGTTCATTGGATATTTTGCAGAAGGCAGTATACAGGATGCCCTGGTGTTTGACTCTTACATTATATGAATGTAACACAAAACACGATAGTAGCCTTCTCATTCTGTCTCTCCTTAATATTTTACCTAACCAAAGATCTGAAGGCTTGAATAGTCCCTCCCAGAAATTAACAGTACAGATGAGTTTAACCTTTAAAAAGGCAACTAAAAGGGAATTCAGGCTTAATGAAAAGATCTGGAACTTAGGCTACAAGCAGAGTTTCTTAGCAAATAGCAACCAGACTCAGTTTCAACTTTACAATAAACCAAACTTGAGAGTGAGCACACAACAGGCAGAACAACATTTCAGTACAAATAAATGGTCAACAGCATCTACACAGAAGTAGCTTCTAGTGTGCCCACAACAGACAATCTATTTAATGTGCTATCAAACCATGGGATACACAGCATAGTAGAAGAGGAAGGAAGGACCTGAGCCTACATGGATGCAAGCATCTCAAAATCTTTTTACCTGTGTGGTTTATTTTGCTGTTGGGCTTATTATGTGGGGACCTTGGATCACAAGAGAACTGCTAGCTGATTGCCAAAGCAAGAAGGGAAAGGTGGCTTTTCTTGCACTGCCTGCAGCCAGCATTCACAGAAAATTCCCCCATAACAGCATTTGCCAGCTGAAGGATTATATGAATGTCTCAGGCAGTTTACACATGAGTTCAGCTTAAGATTATTCACTAAAACTGAATTCAGTTTGGAGGAGAAAAAAAATTTGAGGAGGAAGAAAAGGGTTCTCAGTATTCAGACTCATCACTTCTCAGCAACATTATGAATTTTGTTAATTTTCCCCCCTGAAATGTTAATGCTGCTGGAAAACTGCATCTGAAAACAAGAGACCATTACTCAAGTTTGACAGAAACACACATAGAGCAGCAGCGAGCTATGCTCTTCCTTCAAGGCTAGCTCAGTTTCTTCTACAAACCAAATGGCCCAGAGTCCTGTGCCCCACACACATACTGCTCTCTGGTGGGGCTTAAGCAAACTTCAGAAGCACCTCTACTAAGATCTTAGCTTATGTGGAACGGGACAGAGGCCTGTGAATCTCACAGCTGCTCCTTTGGCATTACTGTCAAACTTGGAAGCAAGCATCAGGGAGCGATTTACCATCATAGCTGTAAATGAGACATTCCATGTAGCCAGCAGAATGCGGGTGGTCATTTTGGTCTCCGATATTCACAGTCAGTGTGTTGGTGGAGCTCATTGGCGGGATCCCGCTGTCTGTGATCAGGATGGGCAGGTAGAACACCTTGTGCACTTCCCTGTCAAAGGTACGCAGTGCGGTGAGCAGGGCACTGCCGTTGTGGAAGTCCTGCAAGTTGAAGTTAGTCAAACTATCGAAATCACTGAGAAGGTGAAAGGAGAAAGGTGCTCCGTTAGCAGCAGTGTCTCGGTCCTTAGCGTACAGCAACGTAGAGGTCTCGTTCATTTGGACGACCTGTGGAGAAGCTGTGTTTTCCCAGACCACTGGGTTATAATGAGCCTCAAACTCTGGCCCGTTGTCATTTATGTCCTGCAAAGTCACTAAAACAGTGGCACTGCTAGTCAGAGGGGGCTGCCCCATATCAGTGGCAATGACAATGAGCTGGTACTGTGTCACTGTCTCATGATCCAGCAGTCCTGCAACCACCACCCACCCATCACTAGTCACAGAGAAATGTCCACCTGGGTCAGACTTGTTTAGCAGGTGGAAAGAGAACCTTCCGTTCAGGCCAGAATCCAAGTCAACAGCAGAAACCTGAACAACTTTGGTGCCAACTAGCGCATCTTCCCCTAATGCAGCCACTTCATAGAACTGGGGGTAGAAGACAGGAGCATGGTCATTGGAGTCTTCCACATAGATCACGCAGTGAGCAATGCTGAAGAACTCCGTGTCCTCTGCTTTCACAGTCAAATTGAACACCCTCTCATGAGGCTTCTCAAAGTCAATCCGCTTTCGTAGTCGAATAAACCCACAGTTGTTGACTTCATCTGTCTCTATGGAGAACTTGCGGTCGTTGTCCCCATCAAGGATGCTGAATGTCACCATGGCATTTTCTCCCTCATCTCTGTCCACAGCAGACACCACTGCCACCTCAGTGTTAAGACTCGCATTCTCAGAGACAAATGCCGTGTAGATCCTTTGCAGAAAGACTGGAGCATGATCGTTTACATCAGTCACTAAAATAGTGGCGGTGCCTGTCCCAGTAAGCCCTCCTCCATCTCTGGCCTCAACCACTACTAGGTATTTGTCTTCCTTCTCCCGATCCAGGGACCTGAGCACTGTATAGATGGTGCCACTAACTGAGTCAATTGAGAACAAGTTCAGATTAATTTCATTTTGGACGTTCTGAATGATGCTGTATGTTAGCACAGCATTCATACCAGCCTTTGGGTCATCAAGGTCCACTGCTGTCATTTCCATGACAGGAGTGTCTGCTGGAGAATCCTCAGGTACGTGGCCCATGAAACAGCCATCCAACGCACAGAGGAAAAGGGGTTCATTGTCATTCACATCCCTCACTTCTATGATCACATCTGCAAAGCCAGTCAGTCCTTCTCCGCTCTCATCTGTTGCAAGAACAAGAAAGCGCCACGTTGATCGCTTCTCACGGTCTAACCTTTTATTTGCGCTGATCTCGCCTGTGTTCTCATTGATGCTGAATTCGCTGCTAGCCCCCTGTCCGTGCAGGGAATAGTTAATGGCATTTTGATCAGCCGCTTGGTCAGGGTCTGTTGCAGAAACCTAGAACAAGCCAGAGCAGGTAAGTGTTTATGTAAAAGAAAAGGGGAAATCACTATTCTTTTATTGATGTCAGTTAGTATTGTGCAGGCTAAATAAATAGCATGCATTTTAATAGCAAATATCTATTGGTTTGAGTCATTCAGGTCAAGTAGTCTTTCAATAAACTTCATGCATGGCCTAGAGAAACAAAAAGATCACATTTAGACAGACGAATATATTCTACTTCCTAGTATATTTTGGAAAGAGGAAATAACTGCCACAAGAACCAAGTGGAAGTAATAACAGATCTGCTGAGCAAATGTTTCTTGCGAAACTTTTTGGAGCTGGAATACAAAGGCAAACAGGGGCTGTTTCTCTCTGAGTGAACAGAAGGCTGCAAAACCAGGGTGGCCATACATCCAAGCTGATTATCAGCACAGGCCAGAGAGAACTCCCAGCTCCTGATTTGTGTCCAGGAATTGTTTGGGAGACTGCTAGTTGGGCCAACCAAGCAGTCCTCATGCCAGGGACTGCTCTAACAACAAAACAATGAAAATGATCAAGTCCCAGAGTCAAAGAACGATCCCTGGTAATGTTTATTTGATAGTATAAATGTAGTCAAAGACTCTGTGACTTAAATGCATGAGGTACATGTGCCAACCACGCTATGCTTATACAGTTACTCAAAATATGCTGACTCTGCTTTGTAACGGAAAACCATCACATTTGGAATCATAGAATCATTTTAGTTCGAAAAGACCCTTAAGATCATCGAGTCCAACCGTTATTTATGCTGGTCAGGGGAACAAGTCCATCATGCAAAGCCAACTAGGCTTTTATTATTCTCTTTTTTACAGAAAGTTTCTAGCTAAATCCTAATACCAGGGCTCACCCACCCTAAAGCTGCTACCTTTTTGGATTTTTGTGAATGGATGGCATTGAGCTGAACAAAAAGTCAGGTTTTGCCCTGCTTTGTGCAAATTGCTTTACCTTTAGGACAAGTACAGGCAGATCTGTGAGCTCCTCCAAGACATTGCCCTGGTATTCGTTCTGAGTGAAGACTGGTGCTTCATCATTTTTATTGATGACATTGATGATGATAAGAGTGTGGTTTTCCCATTTTCCATCAGAAGCTACAAGCCGGAGCTCATAACGTTGGTCTTGTTCATAATCCAGAGGCTGAGCAATGAAGACAGTTCCAACCTCAGGTTCCACATCAAAAACTCCTTTCACATTTCCTGATGTGATCTGATACCTTAGTTTGGCATTTGCACCTACAAGAGAAAGCAAATGACCACTGCCTATCCACCCTCTGAATGCTCAATCCAGCTATACACAGTGGACATGTATCCAAGAGAAATCTTATTTGCCCAGACTGTTACAGTGTGTGGGGGAGATAAAACATAGACACAGACACAAACAAAATGACCCATGTATGTAATTTGTAGGGTCTGTGTATGGCAGATCGGGGTTTAGGTCTACATTTATATTTACAAACATAATTTGCAGTCACAGACAAGCACCTATTTATTGATAATGAAGGAATTGTGTGCCTCTAATTTATTGTGCATTCACTTGCCAATAATAAAAAAATAACATACTATTAAAATATTAGAAGCGATTTTTGCTCAATGTTTCCTAAGCCTCCCATTTCAAATGCCGATAATCCTTAACTTTTTTTGACCACTGGATGGTGCTAAAATATAACAGAAGTTCCCTATTTTGAGCAAGAATTAATCTCGGAAGAACATTCCACCTGTACAACAACAGTTGTTTGATTGCTGCAAAATGTTTAGGGACAACAAAAAAAAAAATGGTTTAGTGTTTCATGTTTACTTATTTGAAAAGGAAAAAAAATACATGACATCGTGTTCCAGGATAGAAAGTAATTTCCCAGATTAAATAGGTGAACTGCTAGGAGTAGAAAGAACATTCAGCATTTTAAGTTAAGAGTCAACTGTGGATGAGAAGACTAGAGCAGCATGGATGGCAAGAAAGTGGAAAGGCCATGCTGAACATTAGTGCTTGGGAGAACTTGGCTGCCTTTGCAGCATGAGTTTGAGCATCACTTGCTAGTCACTTTTGCCAAATTCTCTCAAGTGCAGCAGCCTGTTTTAAATGGTCTCTTTACTTCTCCATCACGGGCACTAAAGAGGCACAGGCATTACAGCACTGTCACCGAAGGGAATGGTCAACTCCCAGCTGCTCCCAGCAACACGTTCCTCTGGTGCTTGTTTGGGCTCTGTCACCAACACACCAACTTGACTTCTTTTTTTCAATGGGTTTGTTTTTCTCCAGCAAGTTGAGCTGGACCAACTTGTGAAAGGAGCAAAAATGTCGCAGCAGAAGCAAAGGGAGGAACTGACCGGCAGTGCATGGTGTTGGGCTGGCTCAGCCCCTCTGGTCTCACCATGCCGTAGGGGCAGTTTCACACCATCGGAGCTGATGAGAAGTCAGCCCAAAAGAGTGAGCCCCTAAAGAAGGTCTGGCTTTCTCTTTTATCCTGCCTTATTCCTGCCTTCTCCCTGTCTTCATTTCTGGCTATGTCATCCCACATTTTCCACTGCCTGTCTGATTCTTCTGCAAGCATATTCTACCCACTAACTCACCAAAAAGCACACAGGTTTGGTTTTCTTGCAATAGTAATAGGTAAAACTGACTCCCAGGGAGATCTGGAAAGCACAGGAGTCAGCACAAAGCAAGCACATGCCCAGGAGTGAGTTTTTATATTACCTCTTATGAAGTTACAGCAGGGTTGTGACTCCAGGAGATCTCATTCTGCCCCAAAGAGACTGCCAGCTAGCTTAATTAACCTTTGCATTGCAGACCTGAGCACCTAATAAAAGAAAATGCTCCTATGTGCCCAGAACTTCTCTCCTCACTTTTACAAATGCTTGAAATGCTTAATCATCTCCTGAATGCAGAGATTTGTTTGCCCATGAAGGAAATAACCCTACACAACACACAGTAATACTAAGAGGACTTAGAAAGACATGCAGAGTCCACTTACCCTCATCTTTATCATCTGCTGTTGCTGTCACAACGGGACTTCCAACATCCCTGTCCTCATCTATGCTGACCTCATACACTGACCGAGGAAATGACGGAGTGTTGTCATTCACATCACTGACAAAAATCCTTACGTAGGCTGTGTCTAAGAAGGAGATGCAAGAGTAACATGCAGACTAGAAATGGCAGAGGTCGAATACCTTGTTGTAATCCAGTCAGCTCACATACCCTCCCCCCCCCAAGTCTAGAAAAGTTGAGGGGTCCAATCTCTGATGTCTTTTACCTGATATATAATTCCTTACTAATTTTACCTGTGTTGGGCTGCCCGTGAACACCAGGTCTAGCAGATTCTGAAGAGTCCTGAGACTGAATTTCAATCAAGTAAGAGGCTCTTTTCTCTCTGTCAAAAGAGGCATGGGTGGAAATAATTCCTGTCTCAGGCTCAATGGTGAAGAATTGGTAATCCTCACTAGCATCTTTCAATATTAAGTAGTGCACCTAAAAAGGAAATAGTTAAGAGAGGTTGCATTTTCCACTTTCATTTGTATGACCATGTGCAGTGACCTCCCCCTCCTCCAGCAGCCTCCTGGGTCTGTTTGCAAAGTAGCAACACTCTGAGGAAAGACAGTTCATCTGGACATAATTTTTCTGTCTTTTTCCCATTTTGGTATAAAACCCCAGAATTCTCAAACAGAAGAACATCTGTACCAGTGATATCAAGGCCCATCAAGCCCAGTATCTCATCTCCAACAGTGGCTAGCAGGAGCAGTTAAGAAAGATCATGAATAACAGAAGGACAGAGAATGTATGGAATGAATTCTTCCCTGGTGACTTCCCAGCTTCTAGCCACCCACGATCTAAAAAAAAAAAATGGAGCTAACGGAGAGTTTGGGTCCTATTCAACAGGACTGAACAAATGAAAACCTCCACTGATGAAAGCTATCCACATTCTTCCCTTTAACAAAGGTTTGGCTTCCTCCTCTGAAAAACACATTTCCACCCCCACCTCCAAGTCATGCCCAGAGCACCGCCTGGCAGTTCTACCAGACAGGTTGCTCTTCAGAAGTTGCAAAATGACAGTTACAGAACAGCACATCTCTACTAGCCAGAGTTCCCTCCCAGAACAGCTAGTAGTATATTTGGAAAAGGCTCAGGAAAATGCACAGAAAATGAGCAGTTTCCTTCACAAAGCTGCTTTTTCCTACGATTGGATCATTATGACAATGATGGTTAAATGTTGATTTGACCAACCATTTGACCAATGATGGTGAAATGAAATGTTATTTAATTGACCATATTTAAATGGCTGTGTTTAACTGATCATAGTCACTGATGGTCAATTACATAATGAGCTGAAGAGGCAAGAGTTTGGAAACATGTTCTGCAGCCACCTCCACTTGTGTTGTCATGGGAGCAACCCTGAGAATCACAGTGCTTTGTCAGAGTTGCTGGATCAGGATAAGCTCCTATGACGCAGGATCCCAAGATCATGAACAGCATCTTCTCTGCCTGCATCCCATATTACGCACATCAGGCATATGCTAGACAAATGCTTGACAAGTGCTGTAAGAAGTGTTTGTGGCTCATTACCCTGTCATCTGCTGTCTGTGCACTCTTACTAATTACAGTACTAAAACTTGGCTATTGGGAGGAAAAGAATTGCACGTAAGGTCAAACCTCTCCATGTAGGCCAGAATCCAAGTCCGTAGCTAACACCTGAACCACAGATGTGCCAACATCAGCTCCTTCTGGCACAGACACCTCGTAGTTAGAAGACACGAAGAATGGAACATTATCATTGACATCTGCAAAAGGAAGTGATGGGGACCACAATGAGAAATGTTTGAAGACTTTTTTTTTTACTTTATTTTTTTCCACAGTCATAATTCTGCTTGGAGAAAGAACTCTCATTGTTCACAGTAAGAAGCAATCCTGCTTTGGGTCTCCCCATTTTCATGGCAGCTGTCAGGAGGCATTTTGTATTTTATTAAGGGCTGATTAACATACAATGGAAATGAAAATTGCAGAGTTGATGAAGAACATGTCTTTCCTGGCCATTGCAGGGCAGTATAGCCAGAGTTATGTTAGGCTTATCACTAGGACCCAATGATTATTAAGGATGCAGCTGCACATTAGCCTCCTCTCATCTAACTACTGGCCAATGTCCAAAGGAAGCATGCTGATCTTCCCACTCTTGTCATCCTGCTCTAAGCCATGGGATCCTCCTTCCCATGAGCTGGATCACGTGGCGGCCCTGTGCTCATTTGTTTCTCTGAGAGAGACTGACTTTCTGGAGAGAAAAGGGTTAGCTGTGATCTGACATGCTCTGCGGCTGCGTAATCACCAGATCCAATGCCAGGGGTGTGGTGGGATTGGGCAGGTGAGGGAAGGGAAGGGCTGCAGTCAGGTCAGATTAGGCACAATGCGAAGCCACATTAAGCATCTATTAGTGCTCATCTTGCTTGTCTTCCTTGCCTGACCCCTGTAGAGACCTAAGCTGGAAAAAATATGCCCAGTGTTTTGAAGGGCCAGTTTCTGACATGTTTTCTCCCTATAATTGTTGTGTGGGACCAGGTGAGCACAAGGGACAGGCAGGACAACTATGGTAGCACTGACTTGGATCCATTTAATCTGCTCTGGAATCACGTCCTCCTGCTCAACCCACAACAAACCAGTCCAGTGTTCATCTTTGTAAGATGACTAAGCTCAGAAATGCTGCATAGTCAGTCGTCTACATCTTTTCGCACTTCTCACAGTTTAACAGCCACATTTTGAAAAAGTCATTTTCCTGTGTTGTGGCACAGTACCAAAACAGAGGAGCTGTAATGACAGTTCCTCAGATCCATCTGTCTTTATGAAGAGCAGACAAAAGTCTTAATATTTCATTCTGCAAACCCGTAAGCACACATTTAGTTTTACTGCTGCCACATGACTCCACTGATTCTGACACATCACTATTTGCAGGAACAATGTCCTAAATTACTTTTTTTTAAGTTGTCGGTGTGGGCTCCCCTAAACCCCAATTTTCTTTCTCTCTCATGTGCATAATAGTCTGTGAAAACTTCTTTTCTAACAGGCTTTTTCTTCGTATTTTATAGAAGAAAATCTGTCTTGTTAGAGATAAGTTTCAGCAAATTCACTGAGCAAGGTAAGGAAAATATGATGGTATGAAAGACTTCCTTTTCTGTGTACTTATGCATAAGTAAAGGACAATTCTGCATATGAAACTTTCTGGTGGTTATTTCTCTCTTAAAGGTGTTTAACTTTTTTTTTTCTCCAACTAATACATACATGTGTGCAAACCTTTTTTTTCATATGAAATACTAATTTATTGAAAATGGATTTTTGCTTGTGAGCAAAATGAAGTTTCTGCCAAATTCTGACAGTAATAACTGCATTATAGGAAAAATCTTTTGGGACAGGGCCCATAATGTAAATGAGGCTCAGACCCTGACTTGAAGCACTCTTGCTCTACAAACCTGAAGGGTTTTTGCATTGGTGGACTATGGAAGACAGGACAATGCTGTGATAAAGTGAAGCAGGGAAGTTGGATTCCTATTCAAATTACCATGTAGGTGTCTCATTTCCATGGTGGTGAGCGAGGTAAATGTTTTTGCTGGAGACTTCATTTATTCATATTTTCATCTAAATGTCTACATATCAAAAGTAACTCCAGTAATGCTTCCAAAAGCAGGGATTAAAATCAGATTTATAGTTTTATGTGGATCTATAGTAGAGCCTTACAAAAAGAACACACTATAAGGAGGGTTGGATCAAATGTTTGAAAACTGTACCTATTGTCAGGACCCTTGCATTTCCATTTCTACAGTTTTAACCTCAATGTTAAATAGAAAATGTAACAACAGCCCTTAAACAGATTGGGTTTCTGTTTGATATCTATCTATATCTGAGCTGTTTCTCTTTCTAATAGCACAGAGCATTTCTAGTAATACTTCTCTCCTTTCAAGAGCTTGGGGCATTTACTAGATATTTTTTCCTCCTATCAAAAGAAAATCTTTGCAATTACACTTATAAAAGCAGGCACTAGTGTTGCGTAAACATTCACACAGCCCATTTTTGCATTATCACATTTTCACATTTTACAGTTGCACTTAGAAATTGTCTCAATCAGACCTTTTTAATGACTGCACGACTTCCTTTTACAGGATAGAAACATACAAAGCATTCTTAGGTGGCTTGGCATTTCATGGTTGGTACCGTAATTCGGTGTGTTATACTTAAAATAACAAGACTATTGTTCCGAATGAGCCGTTCTAAGAGCAGCAAAGCTTACCTGTTATGTTCACACAAACAGTGGTAAAGGAAGCTAAAGGGGTCATTGCTACGTTTTGCGCCCGGACTGTCAGGGTGAAAAACTTAGTTGTCTCAAAGTCAAGTGGTTCAGCGACTAGAAGAGAAGCAGATCCATCAGCTCTGTTTGGCTTCAGATAGAAACGAACTGGCATGTTAGTCTCTGGAACTTGACCCTCCTCCAGATTATACGTAACCCTGGGATCACCAAGAGGGGATGTGGCTTTGATGGTCTGAAGAAGAAAAGAGCCACCACATATGTTCATGAAGTGTGGGGTTGCAAATGTTAAATGTTCAGCTTGATGGCAAGAACATACACGCGTATATGTTCTTCAAGAACACACATGCCCGTATGACTTGGATAACAGACAGAAGAGAAACAGTTTACAGAGCTGAGTTTCATTTAGGGTTGCTGCAGGTCTTTAATCAGCAGCAAATTTATCTGCCTGTAAACGTGCCAAGCCAGAACTGCATCACTGGCCAAAGGAAATCCCTCCTCTCTCCTCCTTCCAAAACAAAACCAATCCAAAAGGAGACTGTTTCTCCACTGAGTGATACATTTTACCAGGCAAGATACAGAAAAACCTAAATTGTTTGCAAGTGAATGGATATTACATGCAGGAGGAGGAAGGCAGGAATTATCTGGCAATTTATGGAACAGGCTATCCTTAAAGAATAAGTCTGTCCAGGTTAAAAAGGAATTGGCTTGGGTTAGAAAGGCCCAAAGCAAACTACAGCCGTCCCATGCTGTAGTGCTAAACTGAGAAAAGCTGTAGGAAAGATGTGGGCAGGCAGCACAGTCCACTGAGGATGCAGGAGTGAGGAGCCGGCCCTTGGTGGGAACGCTCAAGGATTTCCCACACAGGCAGGGCATGGGTCTCGCTTCTCACGCAGAGCTGCTGCCTGCAGGAGCACACCCTGAGGGCCGTTGTTCTAAGAAGTCCCTGGGAAAACTGTTGCCAGCTGAAACGCCGACCTGTTCTGCAACAGGTACTGCTGACAAACACTAGCTGGGTACACAGCTGTGAAGGCTGGTCAGCAAACAGCACAGCGAGGTAAGGTTGCAGGGTGAGCACCCATGCACTCTTAACACCGAGACGGAGCACAACAGAGGAAGAAGTGGAATAAGAAAAGAAGGAGGGAGGGAAGTAATTGCACTTTTAACATACCACTATCTTGGTGTCACGAATGGTGTTTTCGGGGATGGTTACCCAGTATCTGCTCTGCTCCCACTGGGGTGGCTGGCTGAGTGCATTAGTGACAGTTACCATCAGCTCCACAGTGCTGCTTCTGTTCCCTCCATCTGTTGCTGCAATGTAGCGACTGATGCGCGTTGTCTATGAAACGAAGAAGATGGAGGATACTTGCAAACCACTTTGTGCAAATCAAGAGATTGCAACTAACCCTTTGCAATGGATTTGAGGGGTCAGAGGTTGTGCTGTTCCAAGCAGAGTTGCTTTACCTGGGATAGCAGGCGGTTCACGTATACCCAGCCCGTGCTGGGGTTGATCTGGAAGTATTCCACTTGCTGCTCTAACATTGAGTATGTGACGGCAGCATTCACACCTTGGTCATTGTCATGAGCGGCAACACGGAGGAAACTCATCCCCACTGGAGTGTCTTCGCTGAGGAAGTCTTTGAAAAGACAAAGGTATTGTCAGCAGGTCTTGCTGTGATTTACCAGGCTGTGTGTGATGACAGAAATACTCCTGTAAAACCTCATAGTGCCTTTCATGGGAGATTAAATGTTTCTGTAATGAGGCAGGTGTGTTGGGTTTG